AGTTTTGCACCTAAATACTTAACAAAAGATGTGTATTTTATAGCAGTACCATTACACGTGACCTGGAGGCTAGGCCCAGTTTAAGTTGAAACTTAAACCAGAAGGGATAGACCCTGTCTTGCTAAGATGCAAAGACAATGTTTAGTCAATAAACAAATCACTAATAAGAGTCGTGCCATAAAAGAGAATTTCTTCAGATTTATTTGACCAGATACAAGGATACCCGAGTCATCAGCATATAATAAAAGCTTATTGCTTAGGGTTGTAGACATGTCATTGAAAAATATTAGACATAAAAGAGGACCCAAAATGAACCTCAGGGGAACACCATAGGTACTCGGAGCAGTAGTAGAATGAGTACCAGCCAAATCCACCAGCTGCTGTCCATCAGAAATAAGACTTGAACCATGTAAGAATGTTATTACCTATCGCAGATGCTAGAAGTTTCATGAAGAAGAAGAAGAAGAAGAAGAAGGAGAACTTCTTCATGTGCAGTATAGTGTGATCAACTGTATCAAATGCCTTTTGTAGATCTAAAAGTATCATGCATACAATACTGCAATTGTCCATTTCAAATTTAATACAATCTGTTAAATGAATCAAAAATGTGTCAGTTGAAAGAAACACTTCTAAAACCTGACTGAAACTGCTTGACCATGACTCAAACCCATTACTGTCAGAAGATCAACTAAGCTATCCGGCCGGCTACACATTTCCTCTTTAATAATGAACAGTTCTAAACAGCAACATATTTCCCCACTATATTGATTTGTGTCCTTGAATTTCTTATGTTTACAGAGCATAGTGAATTAAACTCAGGGTTATATGCAGTCACAGGATGAGAAAAACTTTCAGCTTGACCTGAACTCGCATATGTGACCCACAGAATAATGTACCGCGGCTATAACGTTTGAGCTATCTGTCCGCTTACACATTTTCTCCCCTAAATAGTGAACAGTTTTTAACCATGACAGATACTTTTAGATTTTTTAATTAACAGGTAGATTAATTCTTAATTAAACAAATAAGAAAAAAAACTTACATACTCATAGTCTTAATCAAAATAACAGTTTATATATGGTTACTATTTGTACTTTGTTTGTTTTCATGTGGCACAAATCACCCACTATAAAATTTAGTGTACAAATTTATTCAAGTGCAAGTAACAATCTACTCTATGAAAAGTCTGTAGTTGGGTTGACTCTTGAGACCTGGAGGTTGAGATCGGTGTCCCTCCATTACAAATAGATAAGACAGAAGTTATCCTTTTCAAACTATGCACATGTTAGAAAAAAAATAGAATAACAATTCAGAATATGATTTTTGAGACTTTATAAATTATATTGCTTTATCCAAATTTAAGGACATTTTCTCCCCTTAAAGGACCAGTACTAACCTACTAGCACAGAGTGTGTAATATGTATCTATATTGCCATGCAACTGTCCGTTGGAGTTGCACCATTGACCCTGCCATCACAAGTAATGGACACTAATTGACCTCAATTCTGGATAGGTCATTATGTAACCTGCCAAATCTCACAAGTTCAGAAGATAAACCACAACATTCAGGCTAAGACACCTTTAACTGTATTATAGATATTATTATTAGCCAGCTAGCACTGGTATAAACCTTTAACCTGTATACTAATCAATACATGTATTATTATTTATAACTTTAAATGAAAGTCGTCCGTCACTTTAATAATAATGTCATAACTGTAACTCTTTAAATACAGAAATATTAAAAGTCTCATCATATCTATATACAAAGGTATACATGTATGCACATAACATTGACAATTCCCAGTTTCTATTAAATAAAAATGTAATCCTAACATTAACATTGGTACTTATGGATGGAATTCAAAATCTAGTAGAAAGAAAACTATAATGTATAAACTCTATTATAGATACTATTGTTAGCCAGCTAATATTGGGTATAAACACCTTTAACCTGTAGTTCAATCAAAACCTGTATAATCATTTTTTATAAATTTAAATGCAAGTCTCATCCATTATAACTGTAAGTCTTTAAAAACAGAAATATTGTAAGTCACATTATATCCATATACTAAGATATACATATATGCACATAACATTAATAATTCCCAGTTTCCATTAAAAATGAATATTACATCCTATTAGCATTGGTACTTGGATGGAAATTCATAATCTTGTAGAAAGAAATCTATAATGTATAGTATAAAAGTAATTAAAATCTCAAATAGTCTATATCATATAATAAAGATTATGTTGTGTGAGTGTCTAAACATTAAATGCATATCTCTTACAGTAACAAATACTGACTATTCCATTAGACTTTACTATATAACTAACTGCATATACAAAATTGTGTATCAAGTGTTTAAAATTGATAACTTCCGGATGTTATCCTTTCTCTGTTTCAATTTATGGACATGAGCACCTATATGCATAGCTTTAATTTTCCAACTTTCATTTTTACCAAAGGTTATTTAATTAACAATTTATATACAAACACATAGAAAATAATAATTAGTTTTCGCATAGTGATTAGAAGATTTCTGTAGCAGAATACCTGTAGGTATGTACTAACTAAACAAACTTGAAAAATCCAGTCTATACGGTATATAAAGCCAATAAAAAAAATCTATTAATATTTATTCTTCAGGGCCTCTATGCCTTTGATGACCTTACAACTGGTAAATTTTATACAACAAAAATAGTAAGTAATACCGAAGATAGACAGAAAAGAACAAATAATTTAGTAAACATGAGTTACTTCCCCTTAAAATAGAGACAACTTGAAACCCAAAAGAACACCTTAAACAGCAAAATTATGAAATGTTGCAGGCTCAGTTTTATTAAGCCATGCAAAGTAATGGTAAAGTATTCATAAAAAGTGAGATGGCCATGTGACAGCAGTAATTGCAGAAAATTTGATAGCTTTCAACATCCGGATACTGGTACACTTTGTCAAATCAATCATTCTGTGCAATAGATAAACGTAATATGGATAAAATCAATAGATAATCGTTTACAACAGTTCCATTACCAATCTTAATACCCATTTGCAGGTAAACGTTCTTCTTAAAGGAAAATTTTGAAAAGATATAAATGAATGAAAAAGAATACGGCAGCAATGTAGACCACAACGATATTCGAAATCCGGGTTTTAGTATGGCCAATAAAGCTAAGTAAAGGGACAAGCTGTTAAATTGAGCCTGCAATTTCGTGAAAATAATATCACAATGCACATGCTTTTTCGCATGTTATAGAGTAAAATTGTTAAAAATCAAGGGGTTTTCATTACTTGATAGGCATAAAACAAATAAATAAAATGAAAATAAATAGAAAAAAATAATAATTTAAAATATGTGGGTTACTTGAATAAGCTAAATATTTCATATAAAAATGAGAAAAAAAAATCCACATTTTCACTTGAGGACATTACAGTTTTTTCACTTCGCAAAACAAACAAACATACTTTTAATATCTTTCATGATGGATCATATGTAGTTTTCCTTTTACTCTATAAATGTATTTAATATTTAAAATCGAGAGAAACCCCTGTGTGATGGATGGCCGTTGACAAAATATGCACTTAAAATACGAATTGCTCAGCAACATTCCTGATTGTCCGTAGATGACTCTACGAAATACCTGTTTGGGAAATGTTTTGCGGTCATTAGATATTACCAAAATGCCTCCTTATTGACTGATTCTTAAAACTTTCTTTGAAGAGTTATCCACTATTGTAACGTTAGTTTAAGAAACACACATACAATTTACGTAAGTTTAAATGTTAACGTAAAGTTACGAAAATACTTACGAAAAACTTACGCAATGTTAGTAAAACGCTGCCCAGAAGACTGTTTGTTCGTATCTTTAAGTAAATTTCACATGCTCTCGGAGGCGATGAGTATATCATTGTAAAAATATCAGAAACGCATTTCCTTTAGCTGTTTCTTCATTATTGTGTAGTTATTACATGATATTGCATAACATTACTCATGAAGTATTATTATATAATCTTCATGATTTTTTTTCTAATAAATTTTTCATCTTTTACTTTGCCTAGCCAAGAAACTCTTTAGTAGTTGGTATTTTTGTTTTTGGCTTTTAAAGTATATCAATATGTAAAGGATACTATTAGTTTTTAGTTTATTGTTATAACTATTTTGTAAATAAAAAGCTTATTATTTTTATTACCTTGTTGCAAATGTTACATGAATCAAAATCTATTCAAGAGAAACTAAGCCTGAAGAATAAATTAAAATTAAACATTAATGAAAATGAGCTTTCATTGGCTGAAATTCCTTTGACCAATCAGAACTGTTTGACATTTAACCGGTTCTTCCCCAGTAATGTCCATTTATACAGACACTTTGTAGAATTGTGGCATTCTTTTGCTAACTTTTGAAGATGTGATATCTCCTAAAGCTCTCTAAGGTAATTGTTTAATTATTGAATTTATTTAAGCATTTTGCCATATAAATGAACCTTACATAATATCAAATTCACTGAAACATTTAATACTTTCGTCAATTTGGTAATGTCTTTTCGCAGGAGTAATTTAGATTAGTTAATATCTTTTCTTTAATATCATGCTTATTCAGCTGACGGCTTTGTAACTTACAATTCCAAAGGTTGATATTAATTAATACATTAAAGTATTTTGTGATTTGTTTTATTCATACATATATCACTTTGTCATCGAATGTGTCTATGCATATTTGATTTGATAATCTGAGTGTATTATTTTCACAACATTTTCAGTGTTTGAAAAGAAGAAATTCTTGCTACAAGTGACTACTCAATTTTTCATTATTAAATGACAATAATTTCAATTAGAAACATAGTTTACAACATCTACAGATTATATAAATTAAATATGAAAACTGTGTGTGTCCGGAAATCTTATAAGTATCACTCTTGAGTTATCATTTTGTTTCGCCATTCAAAGAATATATAAAACGGATATAATGTATAAATTCTCACTTCCTCATTAAATTGATATTTCACATAAACTGTTTAAATATTTTAGAATCTGTATTTAATTACTCTTTGCTTACAATGATTAGTAAAACTTATTTCTTTTTCGATTTTTTTTCTACGATTTTAGTAACGGGAACTAGTGAGTAAATTGCATTCTTGATTCGTTTAAAATACTACACCTTCAAATGAAGATCTTTACGGCTTTGGTGGTGATGATGATGATGATAATGATAATGACGATGATGATTCTGACAAAGATCATGGTGATTTTGACGATGAACACAGTGATATTGAAAAAATGATGATGGTTATATGAAAATGATTCCGATACTTGTGCTGGTGGGGGAGATTTGAGACAACGACAACATTTAAGATGTTTGAAATGTTGATAATGGTGATTTTAACGATGATGATTATGTTGGCTGTTGTTATTATAACGATAAAAACTACGACGATGTTGACTGTGATGATTTGATATGATGATAGCATATAAGAATTTTCAGTTTTTATTTGGATAGAATTGTTTCAAATCTGTGTTATCAGTCAATGTTTGTTTAAAGTTGAAACGAAAATCTCATAAGAAATAATTTAGCTATTTATGTTTGTTATCCATTTGATAGCTTCATATCTGAAACACACCAAAAAATTGAAAAGAAAATCTCAAAAGAAATAATTTAGCTACTTATGCTTGTTATATATTTGACAGCTACATAGCTACATATTAAATACACACAAAAAAAGTTGAAAAGAAAATATCAAAAAAAAATAATTTAGCTATCTATATTTCTTATATATTTGATAGCTACATATCAAAAACACACAAAAAAGTCGATAAGAAAATATCAAAAGAAATCATTCAGCTATCTATGATTGTATATTTTGATAGCTACATATAAAAGACACTATTTTTCAGGCGTGGTGATAGACTGCTATAGTACAACGGTAGATAATTACATCGGCCACCAGCAGACGACAAGGGACGGGATACCGTGCAGAAGATGGGATTCAAACGTTTTACAAGTCTACAAGAATGAACAATTCCGTGACGCTACAGTATCAGATGCCGCAAACTTTTGCCGTAATGTCGGAAAGAATTATATCTGGTGCTGGACGTCAAACAGAAGCGATTGGGACATATGTGGAATTGATAAATGTGGTAAATAAATTATAGGCTATAACTGATATAAAAAAATCGGCATTATCGAATCAGCATTTTCATAACTTGTAATCAATTATTGTGAAAGGTTTAAACAGAATTTCTTTAAGCTCGATTTGGGACGTCCTTAGCCAAGTGGTTAAGGTCGTTGACTTGAAATTACTTGTCACTCACCTCCAAGAAATCGAGTCCCGTCAGGCACTGTAAGAAAATTCTCATTCGGACCTAAGACCTAGAAGGAATAAAATATTATATACATGTACTTTTTAGTTTTCTAGAAAATCGCCGTTATTCTATTGAATTTCGTATAAAAGTATTTTTTTTTTGTATTTTGATAATGATGCAAAATTATGTTACAATTGGCGAAGTGTTTAGAGGGTAAATATATTCAACTCGCGTACTTTGGCATATATTTCATAGAATCATTGTTTTATTATGACATGCCTCCTAAGTTTAAACGGCAATTAATCTGTTCAATCATAATAATATATATTTACTCCATATGAAGTATTTTAGCGTTAAAAAAACTAAGCAGCGCCAAGTAAGTTTCCTTTGCAAATATTGGCACACTGTTATTTCTGAAAATGCAGAATTTGCAATAAAGTGTTTACGATGTTTTAATGACCTATAGGATACCAGGGGATAACGAAATTATTTTTTGGCGATTCGCAGGTAACGACAAACGACGTTCTCTCATAAGATCGACGACGTTCTTTGGCATATACTGCTGAAATTCTTAGTTTCAGTCACAAAGTAGTGCATTATATTTATTTAATGAATCGTGTGTCTGGCTGGTTATCGGCTGTTGACAAATAATGATAATTTTTATTGGAAGCTTTAAATGGGTTCGAGTTTCCTAGAAATTCTTCAGGCAATAGTTTCTAAGTGCACATTATTACAACAAACGTAATTTTGATTCATTTTGTGACCCATAAAATAAAAACTAAATTTATGTAATGGAAAAACAAATTGTCTCCACCACCTCAGAAGACAAGGGCTACGATATCATCGTAGAGAGTCATAAAGACTTAAAGGGAACGTTCAGTAACTCCATTTTCAATAACGTCCAAAGTGTCCCATTCATATTACTATGCATTTATTATAATAATCAGGCTCTAAAATTTCAAAAGAGTATAAATTCATCTTTTTTTGTCGTATATTTTGATCGATTTATATGCCGTTATTTTGGGACTATACTCTCAGTCCTGGAAGCGATTGATTTTACTTCCTCTTTTGTTCATTTAGTTTAGTTTATACAAATTTATTTTAGTTCGATTGTGTTGGAAGCTATATGCTTATTGAAACACTCTCGAATCTGTTCCTGGAACCAACCAGTACTAAGCAATGAATGTAAAGTTTCTTGCTCAAGGAAACAACGGCTTGTACCTGACAGGGTCTTAACAAACGCGGTCAGCAATCCTTAGATTACTAGTCCGACGCGTTAACCACTAGGCCACGCCGCCACTATAATCAGCTTCTATTAATGAACAAAACAGATGTCCGTTCATTTCATTTTACATTTCAAGTTTATGACTTTAAAGCTTACGCTTCAAGCATAATTATTTTTTGGCAAGTTTAAACACGCTTCAAGCATAATCATATTTTGGCAAGTTTAAACAGTTTATAGTTTGCGGAAAATTTTTACCGGTATTGTTTGTCCGTTCCTAAAACTTATGTCATTACGTAATGTAACACTGAATTAATCCTCGATACTTCAACACCGCCGTTCTACAAAATAAAAAAGTGCCGTATACGTTGTCGGAAATCTGTGCTATTTTGTTTATAGAAGCTGATTTATAGTGTCTACAAAGATTTGTTAGCTATGAGTGCTTATATTTGGTAGGCTTTATTTTGGACTTGTGATCCAGATAATATAAAATACTAAATCTCTCCAGGACGAGACATTGAATAAGGACATGACATCGAACAGCTGCGTCTTTACTACGGAATAAGATGCTGATATTAGTTTAGGAAATTATCGCTGTTCCTGGAAGATTTATTGTTTTGCTAGTGTGTAATCGCATAAACAGGTATAATCTCATACAAAAGAACAACAAATTTCATGAATCTTTAATAAATGATTTCAAGAAATTCGTTGGAATTAAGGAAAGTCTCATTGATATCATTTATCGAAATAACACATCTGTAATTATTCATTTATGTTTGTGAATTATGAGTTTAATTGTTCGCTGCTTATTTTCATTATATTTAATGTGTATTTATATCGATATATATGATACTATCCAAACATTTATACATGAACACTATCGCAGTTTACATATACATGTATTTAATACCATTGTTCGTTTTCACTTACAGATAACAACGGTATAAACAAATGTGGAAATTTGAAAATTGAGCAACCAGCTTTACTACGAAGGAACGTCACATTTACTTTTACCCCAGACGCACATGATCCAGATGCAATTCTCGAATGGCAACGTACAGCTGATGCTAAACGATATCCATGGTACACTCGTCCTTTAACATACAAATTCACTCAGTATAATGAAAATGGAACATACTACATGGTCTTAACAAACAGTTTACTTAAAGTTGATGAGGTATATTATCGGATACATTATTACAACGAAAGCATGCACTGTTGGATGGAAGCAGGAAAACTGGAAATTGATGGTATGTCAATAGTTACTTTTCAATGCTGGCTCCACTTACTCAACCAATCAGTAACAAGAAACTTTTGATTACTTTGTTGTCTTTTCTTAAAGGGACATACACTCTATATCAAACGACTTTCTTACTTCTAAGTTCGAAGAACGCAGACTGAAAAATCAGTCTACAATAATTATATATCTAACCTGAATAGGATGTCGCATTTACAAAGAAATGGGGTTTTACAACAATAAGTAAGATGTAACGCGAAGACTGTTGTTTTCAATAACATTATCCGTCGATCTTGCAAAATGAATTCATAATCAAACCTGATAATCAGGCATTTGCATTCTATTTCTTGATATTTTGATCTATAAATTTATAGTTTAAATAATATATATAAAGAACTATTTATGTCATAATTGTAGCTATAGAAATCTAATGCTGATCCTCTATATTTTCTGTCAAGAGGGGGGAATCAAACAATCATCACTTTACTTTTTTCTATAAGAGTATTTTTTCAGATCGCCAAAATAATTCATGTGGGTATGTTTACCTGAGAAATGACCGTGTTTTGGAGGGCGAGAATGTATATTTAGAATATTATCCGTCTAAAGATGTAATGGAAAACCCTGATAACTTTAAACGCACATGGGCTCGATCAAGAAATGGATATACATCTTATATAAAACTGCTTGAAAATGATATTTACATTGAAAATAAGAATGAAAATGGAATATATATATTGACTATTTCTATGGTCAACAGTCGTATGAACGGACGTTACGGAGTTTATTGTGGCAGAGAAACGGGATATACAAATAATGTTTCAGTGGTTGTACAAGGTAAATATAAAATCCGGCATCATAATAATGATATAATTAAATATCAATTAACGATTTTAATTGTGATGATTTAGTTTTTAAGTGCATTATTATATGGCTGAAGGGCTGTTTGCTCTTTTCGTTGTTAATGTTTGATACTTTAGAATCAACAACTAACTGACAATTTATTTAACTACATTGTAACTTACAAACGAACAATAAAGCTAAAATGTGGTCAAAACTTTAAAAAAGTATGTTTTGTATATAATATTTTTACCTCACAAACACGTTAGAATCGTTTTCTTTTTCAGCTTCAGGTCCACAAATGTGAAACCCCATTTATTGATAAATCAAAATCATACAATCGTACAATTATGCATAACCATACAAATACAAATCATACAGTAAATCATTAAACATTAAAAAAGGAGACATAAGATTTTTACATTACATTTATAATATAAATTTTGAAATTGATGAGATAATATAAAAAAGAACGTTAGAAGAAAACAATGGTTTATTCTTGCATTATATAATTATCATAAACTGATGGTTTTTGAGATAATTTTACTTTCATTAATAAACAATATTGTTTTCATCCTGTCCTCCAAAGTGTCCCCAACAAGATAGTCTAAACGAAAAGTGTATACGAAATACAAATAAGGTTTTCCCGTGGATAATTATAGAAGAAAGAGTAAAAAAGTATTATAATGAAAGTATTATGTATTGTGTAGTTCACATATATGTTAGGTAGATTTATAAACACCCTGGACAAGGATTATCTGAATTAAACACATTCCATGTCTCCTAACGAGATAGTTTATAAAATACTGCTCTCATCACAGGATCTTTATATGTACTATTTGAGTAGCTTAAATCTGTGTATAAATGCAAAAAAAGTCTTGTAAAAGAAAGAAAATGACAATAATTCGATATGCATAAGCATTGCTATGCTTCTAAAAAGTCATGTCTCATAAAGAAAGATAACTACCATAAATTTCCTAACATATGTAAACTTATTTATTTCCCTTAATTAAAAGAGCTAACTTTCTTCTTGGAAAAAAGGAAGTTTTTCAAAGCTCCCAATTTCATAAAACATAAGAAGATTCAAATAATATTAAAATCAGCCGGAACTGATAGTCTTTGCCCACTCCATCGTGGACCTGAACTCAACCAGAGCACGACCTTGGGCCTAGAAGCTCCAAAACGGTCTTCCTGCGACAAAGCGCGCCCCAGGCAGTGCCAGTTGCACTCCCGACCCTCGACCTCCAAAGGTTGTCGGGAGTCAGGAGTACCCCCGACTTCACGATGAGCCGACATACAGGTGGCACAGGCCATAGTTCAAGCAATCTTAATATCTATATAATTCTGTATATTGATCATATCAGCATTAAAAGTGTAAACTATGTATGTATAATATACTAGTTGCCTGAAGCTTTTTTTATGATGTGTCACCAAAAATATATTTATTACATTTTTTTTAGGATAAGACCAAGAAAACACTCTAAATGTATATGGCACTTCTCCGACTTTGGATGGAAATATTGTTTGTTATTATTTTTATTATTTTATAATTTATTATTGTCAATTAAATCAGCGACAAAACTGATACCATTTTGAAAAAGGTTGTTGTAAAATATTGTTGTGCCTCAGCCCTTCACTGTTGTATTGAACCAAAACGGTTGCCTGAGATATTCATTCCATTATTTGTACTTTCGAATAAAACGTTATCCATGATGTAAAGACTCGTTCCAAAAGGAATTGTCGATTCTTGATTATTGATTTTTAATAAAATCTGGTCCGAATTTGGAAAAATTACATATTTCAGGAAAAGAATTTTCAAAGATATTTTTCCAATTTTTTTTGTTTTCATGAAGAATACGTCTAATCCAACCTAACTTTAAAGAATGAATAAAAAAATTTTAGTTCTATAATATTCAATCCTCCTTTTGACATCTGTTTTATAATGATTTCTCGTTTTATTTTATCTGGGTAATTGTTCCAAAGAAAGTTGAAAAATAAAGTTTCTAGTTCTTTGATAACTTTGTTTGATGGATTAGGAAGAGAAATAAGTAAAGGATTAATTTTCGATAGAGCCATCGTTTTAATAATTATTTTCCCGTACGGGGTTAAAATTCTTTAAGACCATTGTTGCAGTAATGATTAAATGTCTTCTAATTTATCGTTATAGTTAAGACTAATTATATATTTCAGATTAAGTGAGTATTTAATTCCGAGAACAAAAAACATTTCTTTATCCCACGTCAGTTTTCTCCTAATTCAATATCACTTCCTTTCATGCCTCCAAACCAGATAACTATTGTTTTTCTATATTAATGTGAAGGTCGGAGGCGTAGCATAGAATTTTAGCACCAAAAGTGTATTCTTTAGAGATTTTTCTTTACCATCCATAGTAAGAGATGATGTGTCGTCTGCGTACTGTGAAACAAGGTGTTCCTTATTACCTATTTTAATACCAGTATTACTGTCATTTTTACGTATTAAGAGGGCCAATATCTCTGCACAGAGAATGAAAATATAGGGGTGTTATGGATCTCCTTGTCTACAGCCATGTTTTATAGAGAACCATTCCGAGATTTGCCGCCCATTTGCTTGAATAAACGACTTTATATTTGAGTAAAATACATTTTACCATTTCTTAAAAGAGCAACCAAAATTAAAGAAGTCTATTGTTTTAAATATAAATGCCCATTCTAGAGAATCAAAAGCCTTTTCAAAATAGATTAGTCAAAGTAGGCCCAATATATTTTTTTCTGTAAAATGAAAAAGGTCATATAAACTGCTAGTATTTTCTCCTATAAAATGGCCACAAATAAAGCCGGTTTGGTCGTCATTTATCAAAAAAAGGAAGGATTTTTTTTATTCTATTTGCAATACAAGCAGATGCGATTTTATAAGAGACAATAAGAAGAGAAATTGGACGCCAATTTTTTACTAGTCTTTTGTCTTTTTCACCCTTTGGAATATATATAATAACTCTATCTTTTGAATTATTGATAATTCATTTTTTTCAAAGCTGTAACTTATTTATCTGATATAAAAATCTCTAATATCGTTCGAAAAGAATTTGAAAAAATTCGGCTGTAAAACCGTCTGAGCCAGGGCTTTTTGAGTTCTTCATATTTGAAAGGGCAAAAGACGCCTCTTCTTTTGAACGTTATAATTATATTTCATACCCTTACCGCTTTTTTCGACATCATAAAACGAGAAAGACTTGACGTCAAAATTTATTTTTACTTTAGAAATTCTTAATGTGGAAATTGATATTTTACTTAATCATTATTATGTCCATGGGGTTGGGTAGGGATTAGAGCAATAGTTGGGAACAGCGTGTAATTTGAATCCTTCCCTTAGCGTGCATCATGAAGAATTTTTAAGAATTTAATTTATTTCATTTCCAATGGGCTAATAAACCCATGAGAACAATATACTATGTATAACATGACAGAGTAATGCATGATATTGATAATAATACATCTATTTTTCAATAATTAAAATATAGGAGAATGTTGAAACACAACCTTAACACTACTCCAGTAGAAGAGAGATTTCTTCAATACAATATACTATAAAGCAATCATGGGAATAGAATCTAGTACTCCAATTTACATTCACCCTTTATTGAAATCGAAAACAAAAGAGAGAAAGGTTAACTCATTGGCTATTCGTGAAACATCATCATCAAAATAACTGTAAATTGATTCAAATATCATTTATTCGTTTCTATTAGAAACGTTTAGTTCTGAATTTAATATCTTGAAAGGAGTAATATTTACACTGTGCTTTGGCAACAAAGAAGAGAAAAAATATAGATATATACGTTATTTTACATTTGCCCGAACATAATGGTATTTCTAATGGCAAAAGCGTTGTATACATAATTCCTATATGTCCTAATTACAATTTTGTCGTCAGATTTAATCAATTCTAAAAACTTAAACTTATTCGGTCTATTCAGTGTATCTTAATAGAAACTTGGTAATAAACAACATAAGTTACATTTCCTTTCATTTATTTCAAATCTTACTGAACGTACCCATCTGTCTGACTCAGTTTGTAGCCTGTGTGTTGAAACACGCAATCTAGATACTGCTTTGAAAAATTCATTTATTCGAAAATATATAAGATATGACTGAAATTTGAAAGATGCAATGTTTCTGTAAGATAATGCTCTGCTTGAATCATTTAGTCGGCCATGCCAGTTCTGAATAAATTGATTTGTTAATCTTTGTTTAACTGAAGATAATCACAAACATTTTTCTCTAACCAATCCTTATCAAAACCAAGGGAACATGTGAAATTTTTCGCCATTGAACACCAGTTTACCTTACGCTTATCTCTTTCAAAATCTATGTTTTACATTTAATAGATCAAATATATATACCTATTTTTGCTTGCTGTTAATATCTTTACCCAATATGTACATGATGTAACAATGTTAACATGATGAATAACTTGTAAAGAGGTTCTACCCAGTTTTCCATAAACGAAATTATTTGGGCTTGTCTTTTTCACCCATATCCGAGTGGTAGAAACCCAACAGTATATTCTGGACGTTGCTGAATGATAAAATTACGTTTCTGTCAAATATATAGTTTATACAAGAGGAGGTGAAATATAAAGTCCGTTTATAGGATATCTTAATACATAATTTGTATTTTGTTTCTTATTGTGAATCTCATATATTTTACTTTACTGAATCACACTTGGTGCTTCCTTGCTTTTTGATATTTTACCTTTAAACGTCCAAATCAATGTATTCACTTTTATGAAAACCCTTATTTATATTGAATGACATATACTTGACTAATAATTGGCTTGTAATTTGTATTATCCAATAGATTACTGTATAACAAGTATTAACAGTGATATTGTTATGTTTTAGTGCCACCAAGCGCTCCAGAATTTGTAGGTTTGCAGGACATTGATGAATGTAAGAAATGCATTGTTGGTTCTGACAAAGAGAACATTCAAGTCCATTGCAAGACAAGTGGCGGGACACCACCCGTTGATGTAACTGTAACAGTAGGAGACAAGTCATTCCAAGCAATGCATCATGATGTTGATAGATCGTTTTATAAAGCATTTATCACACTTACTGACAGTTACCACAATGCAACAATCACTTGTTCGGTAATGAATGATGCGTTATCATCACCACTACTCACTACTGCCCAAGTGTATGTTATAAGTAAGTAATATGTTATCATACAAATTAACTACCTTATGTATGTTTTGGTCTATTGTTATTTTTTAAATTGTTGAAGAATAATGCTTTTTTGATAAAGACATTGAAATAAAATGAAATTAGTTACACGTATGTCAAGTTTATTTGAAGTATATAATTTTCATAAGACAAACTATGTACGCAGATCAATTTATGTTTGCAGTCGTTTCAAAAATTATCAAAACTTAAAGATTAAACTGAAACGTAATAACATCATCATTCCAAGTAAAAATTTACTTACTAAGCAAATACGTGTTTGTAAAGAACAAATCTATTACATATGACACTTTGTAATAAGAAATATTAGCAATGACGTCAAGTAAACTACAAATCGACCGATTATACATTTTATTAAATATCTTTTATACAAAATCTCTTTAGAGGTTTAAAGTTAAATAAGTATACAAAGTAAACATATTTCTAGTGTTTATCACTTTTTATATTTAGACTGTATGTGATTCAAATATTTGTGAATATATCTGTTTATGAAAACAAGGTTAATATTTCATTTTCTTAAGCCGGTGCCAATTAAAAGGCTCAGTCAAGCCGAAATTAAAACATTTTCAATTATGACATTATTTAGGGATTCCAGTTTTTCTCTTATTGATATCGATATGTATGTTTTCATACATAATAAATATAAAATTGTCTTTGGGATATATCATAATAATCACAAATCTTTGTATTTTCTACAGAGCCCCCTACTAATGTTCTTCTAGTAGCATCAAGCGATCTAAAAGAAGGGAGTCCTGTTCACATCCTTTGCCTGAGTCAAAGCTCAAGACCTTCTCCGATGGTTTACTTAAATGTTTCCGGTATAAAAGTGTCGTCTGCTGACGTAGATACCAGCACTACTTTCGATCAGGTCACTTCGTTATACAGTAACTTTATCACCTTGACAGCATTCAAACGAGAATGGCACGGAAAGAACATCGTCTGCTGTAGCTTTAATAAATGGTACAATGCACCATCATACTGTTCCCAACCGAAACAAGTTAACTTTGTGTGTAAGTGTTTTTCACGCCCAATTTAGTATTGAAGGGAAACATCTTTAATTATTGCAACATTTTTACGACCACATTTCAAACTAAACGGATTTTCAAGGATGAATTTAAGCCAGCCAAATGTAAAATATATATATCACAAAAATGAATGGGTTTTGCCAGCCGATTAAAATTGGCATTATACTTAATTTTACCTTGCCAAGATAAGCTGATGTGGCAATAAAGTTTAAAAATGTTACTAGTATAATCTTCAGAAATTGATAATAAAAATGTAAAGGTTACAATTTCACAACTGCCTGAAAAGTAAAAGATTGTCCCTCCATAAATGGAATGTTAACGAGGGATATATATAGAATTTAATTATTGACTAGGCCATACAATTGAAAACGATTATGACAAAATCTAAAGTTATTCTGACTTTGACCTTCACACCCACAATTTACACTTAGACGGGCACAATGTCACTTGAATTAGCTAAATATACCTGCATAATTCATAACCTGGATGGCTCAGGTTTATTGGAAAAATCGATAAATCATCAAAAGATAAACTTGCTTTTCCCTGGGGATGCAATCATTTTATGCCACAGAGACAAAATTAACAAATTGTTACGATTGAATATGTCTGAAAACTAAGCTATGTCAAACATTTTATAAATGTCTGGTAAAAGTATTGGTAAAGATGCCTTTTCTTGATGCTTTGGACTTTGTGTTGTCCAATTTTGTGATTTGCCACACATTCTTTGTATAAGTTTGTAGATAGTTCCCACAAGATGTGATGTGTTTGTAAACCCTAATGACCGTTGTAGTAGATCTTTCAACATCTCATCTATGCATAAACTTGATAAAACAGAAAAATCAGAATATTAACCAAACATATGAAAATATGAAATACCATTCTATATTGCATAAGAAAATGTTAATACTGTAATATACATTAACACTCAATACATGTAATAGATATCATCTGAGCACAATGCTAAGATGTCATATAATACATAACAATATAATAGAATTTACTGAAACGAGCAATCAGTTTATGATATATCTCAATATGATTTATTTCAGTTCCTCCATCTGACATCAAACTTGAAATCAAATTTGACTCGGTAGATCCACTTCATATGTATGCCGTATGTACCCTGAACAATTCAAATCCGGCTTGCACGGCTAACTTCCTGGCAGCCAGCATAAGCATCGGTTCAGAAAGGAACTCAATAAACATGAGTCTCCCTCATGGCGCGTGGAAAACAGAGTATGTCGTTAATTTGAATGTCAGTAAAGAAGACAATGGTAAAGATGTCACATGTGCTGCCGAATGCGCAGACTTTCAGGATCTGGAACTAAGAGACACAAAGAAAATCAAACTTCCATGTAAGCTCATACCCATGAGTCAATATAAACTTCAGTTAATAGGTGGTCACTTATACAGTTTTGTAATGAAAAACAATATTCTCAAATATAAAACTATTTAAGTTTACATTTAGATAGTGCTAGACAAAGTATTCTTGTAACACAAAGTATTACATAAAATTATCACTTTTAGTTCGCTTTATAATAATTGGGTTTTTTAATTTCTTAAAATGGGTCGACTGGTATGTGTCATCCATTTGAGAGTTGGTTCAGCTTGAAATGTTTGGGAAAAATCACTTAAATATAATAAAAATCAGATTTTACTCGTGACCCCCTTTAAAAAACAAGTAAAATATCAACTTAAATGTATTTTAATCGTCACCTCAACGTTGTTTGTGCATTGGGAAGGTCGTCAAAGGTTTTGCCTGTATAATCAATCAGAAATTATACATTATTTTACGATCACTTGACGAAGATCGTTCAGTAGAACATAATTGTTATGATTGTTGTACTTTCAAGTATTTCCTTTTTTTCTGGTTGGGTGGTATTCTTATTTGAATAATGTATAAACACTCTTAGGATATGTTCCATGCCTTTTAAATTTGTCTTTTTAAAGCTTCATTTGTACTTACTAATAGGGACCATGCTGCTTTTCATAGAATGACACTAACTTGTCAAAGTAAAGATTTCACGAGTTCACGTAAAACGTTGAATTCCGATTAAATTGGTGCTATAGAGCATGGACCGCAGCTTGCATTTACCATTTCTGTTCATGGTCAGGATCAATGAAACCGAGCTTGCAGTAATTTACCATGATGGTAAAATGTCCTTGATATATTTAAGTACATAGAGATATCCTTCAAATAAAGAAATGCGTGTCTATCTTAACATTTACGAATTTTTCATTTTCTTTGTATTGAAAAAGGGGCAATGTTAACCTTCTTTTTGTTCCCATGCAATGTATCTAAATCTACTTCTACTTGTATTTTCATATTAAGTGAATACATAATGTCAATGACTGTCTTCAATTGACCTTTACCAGGGAACAAAAAACAAATGTCTGAAATGTCAGACGAAGGAAATGGAACACTTATTGGAATCATTGTCGGAATATGTTCAGCGCTTGTCGTAATAGTTGTTGTCATAGTAGTTGTCATCAAGAAAACACGAGACAATGATCAAGGTAAACATATATTAGTTGTTGTAACAATAGCGAACTTTAATAGACTGATAAACCTTTAATGACGGTTTGTAATTTTGTCGTTTTGAACGCTTTTTAGGAATTCCGTTTTCCGTTTTGTGTGGAGGCCGTTAAAAGTCCCGCCGTTAAAATAGATGCTATATATTTTCTATCATTGATAATAGATAAACACGACATTATTGATGTGTATAAATGGTATTTAATTTATGTTTATCTAATGGACTTTTTTTAAATTGAATGGTTTCAGTATACCTAACTGAATACTGTATAATCAAAATTGAGATATATTGCATTCTTTTCAAATTTGGATTTTGATGTCTTGTCTGTGTTATGAAGGCTTCATAACCTCTTATCATCGTCCAGAATTCAACTTAATTTAGTTCATCTCATTGTCTTCTTGGCGCATTTCTTTTGTCATGGAATTACACGAACGTATCACATTGAAGATTCCACGTTCATCGCCGTGTCTGCGAATGTTTAAAACATTCCCCATTTTCATGTTTAAATGCTTAATTCTTCTTAGGCCGGAACTAGTGGCATGGACGGTTTCTTGCACTTAATAGTACCATCCATGAACAGGCTCAATCAAATGGAGCCTGCAACATTTTCAATGTTGTCGCTTTTTGACGATTTATCGGGTTTTGCTTCTCCAATACATTTTTTTTCCAAATAATAACAATATTACTTCACATTAACAGTCCTTTTTGATAAGTTGTACATGTTACTCTTGTGAAAATATCATATATGCTCAAATTGTAAGTAATCAGTGTAAAGTCTATAGAATGAGATTTTCTGCTAAAGTAAATCAATCATGTGTATCAACATCACAACACTAACGTCACCATTTATCTTACGGCAATGGTGAATAGCCATATGTCCGGTCTTAACGTCGGTCATAGATGTCCTATAGTTTCAATAAATCTTACATACGAAGTTCTTATAAAAGTATGTAAAATCCTTAAATGCCCTATTCAAACAGCATCTTAATCTTTTTCTAAAAAAAGAACATTTAAAAATCATCAGTTTCTATTTGTGCTCTCTCGTAAAAATAATATTGTTGTGGAAAAAGTTATTATTTAATTTGATTTTTTAAAGAACATTCAAAGGTTTAAACCATAATCCTAAAGATCGAAGGTGTAGCATCATTTACCTCAAAATCAATGATGACGTAATATTTTAAAAGACGCCGTCAAATATGCTTTAATTGACGATATTTTGTTGTTTTCTTGTGTCAATTATCAGACGTTTGTAAGATATACAGCTGGTGACATATCTTATATGGTCAGCTCAGACTAAGTTTTACATTATTGTTTACAAACCTAACGACCGCAGGTAATGATGAATATAGTGTAGACCTTCATCTGAACTAGCTTTACGTTGAGTTTACAACAATTAAATTCACTACTTTTTATCTAAGCGTTACATTGTTATTGATTTAAAGGAATTCTCAATCTGCTTTTTTCTGTTTGCTTTAATCCTACTACGAAATACAATATGAAAAAGTATAAACTGTATGTCCATCAGTTTAAAAATTTCTTTTTTCAACAGATCAGCCGAGTCAGGAAAGAAACAGTCTTCGACAAAGGTTTGTTTATTTTACAATATAGGTTATTACCACAGTATTACTCTAAATGTTTTCTTCTTATTTCACAAAGTATTCTTTAAGAACTTAATATTTAGCGAAATGTATAGAAAAAAAATACAAATGCTCAAGTTGAAAACAGAAGTTTGAATAATAATGTGTGTTGCAAAATAACCAAGATTTGTATTTTGTTATCCAAATGGTATTTTGCAAATTATGATACACCATTTATAAATAAATACATAAATAAATAAATAAAATGATGATGACGATGATGTTGATGGCGTGGTAATGAAAGTAATCTTCTAAACATGAAATAATCCCCGACAGGAATTAAATAGACGAGTGATTTGAAGTCAGTCATCACTGAGCAACGAAGGTCGAAAGGAACGTTTATATTATTAGTTATAACGAATTTTTGGCAGATTTATTATGCTCTATTATCGGTTGTTTATGTATATATATTTCACACAACAGTTTAAAAAAAATAAACTAGGAAATAAATATATATCACGAATTCATAATACAGCAAACTTCATTGTTTTAGAGACAAAGCAGTGTATATAACTATGTTATCCATAATTTTAGTGAATTATTTAAGTCACAAGACCGCATGCTATTAAAGTAACAAAGACTCTGATTTAATAACAGAAACCGATCAAGACAACAATCGCAAAATGACAGTCAAAATGCAAATATTCACATATATAACAACACAAGAACTGATGAAGAAGCTGTTACAAGAGATCAAGATCATGATGCTAGTAACTACGAGAGTCTTAGCGACCAAAGGGATGCAGACAAGGTTTACAGTGGTAAATTCAATATTACATTTTTAGATCATTTATATACGAAGCAATACTTGAAGCTTTATTTCATTCTTATGGCAAAATAATACACTTATATGCTTATGAACAGTCATTTCGCAAATTGCAACCTTTGATGTTCAAAACACATGTTCAAATATCTCTTTGACCTTTTTATTTTGAAATTCATTTACTAGTGGTTTTTTTTCAGAATTAAGAAGTACAGAGCTATAGATGGTGAATGTATTGTTGTTGTTTAACGCTGGAGGAAACAAGGGAGAAACAACAAATAAAGTTTTTATTGATGAAGAAGATAAAACTGTATTTCATTATAATGTCTCCCGTCGGTATCACATGCGATACTGATAATTTTTATATCTTTCATTTGAATGTTTTGCACATTAATGTTTGAAGTAAAAAGCCCATTATGCCCGGTAAATGCTTTATTGTTTTATTCTCGAAAGATTTTTTAATATTTGGTGTATTTATGAACTTTCCAAAAAGTAACCCATTTGCTAATTACATGTACCTGATCCATTTCTTTCTTCTGTTGGAAATTACCTTTATTATTATAAAGGTTAGCAACATAAAACATATTCTAAAACTATTATAAAACATTTAAAAAATTCATTTGCTCTTTAAAAAACAATAAGAATTTGATTTAAAGTGATTGACAAGGTCATTTTAAGTGTAAATATTTTCTATGAAAGTATAGTTAATGAGCTTTTACTTTTACCAAACGCGTTTTATGGATTTTCTCTCTGTAAATTTTGCATGACAAAACACACACAGGCACGCGCACGCGCAGCCACGCCCGTGCACAAATAACCAAAACGATTTGAATCTAGTATATTTGTGAATAAACCTTGTACATGGTATTTCCGTCTGTAAAAATTTACTTCTCAAAATGGTATGCTATTCATTTTTTCAGAAGTATTTATCACCATGATTTTGTATTGATCTTAATATATTCCATTATATACATATTTTCATTATAATATCATTCTTTCTAAAATTAACATATGAATTACTTTAAAAAGGCACTAAGTTTACATAACGAGAATGCTGGATGCATGTAGAGTTACATGAGGCATTACTAAAATGTCTTGTCTTTAACCAGACATAATGGTTTTACATTTCTTTTCAAAGTCGACACTTTGTATATTTGTTTAAAGTGGAATTTATATTGAACTGTGTGTATCATTGTATACATGCGTGCAAAATTTTGTTCTTTGCTACACTTTTTCTAATGAGTTATTAGTCCATGTTTTGGCTGGAATAAATGTAGATACCAGTACAATAGTGATACTAAGAGTTTAACAAACCGTCAACCACCTTGTTGTCAAGAAAATACTTGTTTTTGTTAAATTCAAAGTAATTTATATCTGTAAGTTTAAAGAGTGATTCAATAATGTAAATGAAATACTCATGGAGTTGATTTATTGCATGTTTTGACGTTCTGTTCAACTTTTAAAAGAAATGTTCATCATATATTTATATTTTTAATTCTATTGAATTTCCGTTCTTTAAATACTGGACAATTGTGCGGAATCATTGGACCTATAACGTGTTACTTCAAAAATAATGCTACACGTGTGTGCAACTTTGCAAAAGATGTAAACAATAGTTTTGTCTATTAATTTATTTTGTTTTCAGAATTTGAACAATATATGCATAAACTTTCATTATTCTTTGACCAAAATATTTGATGTGAAATTAAAGCTTTAGGTATCATCTGTATGCAAATAAATTCTGTTCTCTCAGGAAAAAACGTTGTTTATGATATAGGCCAAATACATTTTCACAAGTAACAGGAGTTTTTAACATATCTTGTATCAGAATATGAAGACAATTCTCTCTATATATATGCACATTTCTTAAGTGATATAAATCCTTGGTATTTAATCGAATAATCATACATTGTCATAAGGCAAAGAATCCAGAGGAAAATTTATCATCATATAGGTATAAGCTCGGTGAACGTTACAGTAATATTATGATTGTTTGTATTTTAATATACCGTTAATAACATTTCTGTTCAGAGGCGTAAATATTAAGAATGTTGAGAATAGAATGAAACTTTTTAAATATTATTTTGTAGCATGATATTCTTACATAGTTACTCTTTCACATCGGGATTTAAATTACATAGTACAATGAATTCATTGCCAATGTCATCTAATTATGCCACATATAACGTACAGTATCGTTTTCATAACAAAACTTTGCTAGATGAATAACAATAGAGGAGGTTTCTAAATTACACGTTTCACAAACACACACAAATTTACAAGAAAAATATCTACTTAACCTATTTATACACATATACACGCCTTTTAACGCCTTTTTTTAACCCCCCCCCCATTTGTCTTATTCAGAACCCAACACTTTTTTTTGTTTGAGAAACGTTGTTACAAAAATGACCACTTTTCCGGCGCCGCCTCCTATCCAAAAGATACATCAGGGATGTGCCCCATTCTGTTTGGGGGGGGGGGGGTGAAGGGGGTCGGCAGTCCCCCTTATCGCCAAGAAAAATTTGGACTTGTGGGAGGCTAAAATGACCCCAGGTCGATCATAAGGTAACGTGTAACCAACGCTGAAAAGCTTTTGACTCTATCTCAATCCATTGAGAAGGTGCAGCACTTTGAAATCAATTTTGATGGAAAAAATCAATGTACAATAGTGATTTTCGGCATTTTTGAGATGTCCCCTCGTTGCCATGGTAACAGAAAATGTAAGACTGAGCATGTCGTTACAAAGGCAATGGTCCTGTCAACATTTGTGCTAAGTTTGATTAGTTTTGAAGCAGTTTTCATAGTTTTATAGCAATTTGAATTTATAACGGGCGACTTTTATAACGGGCGTCTTTTCTGTTAAAGCAGAATTAGCTGTTATACAGTATTTAACATGACAAAATTTCTATATAGCAGTGGAACAAACAAATTGTGAATTTTGTACATATTCTTTTAACTTTCATCGCATTTCTGTTTTCGCTTGTATCAATATATTGATTTTGACATAACTTATTTTCAGTGGAAATATCACATCATGTAATTTGTAAACACGCTGGTTGAGTCACATTTTCCTATATTTCTATAAATACCCGGTATGAAACCTCTACATTTATGAGAGTTTGACATGAACATTAAAAATCGTTTGATGACCAATGGCTTGATTCTTTTTGAACTGTTCAACATTCACAAATGGCCAAACTGGAGCTTCCTCTTACCTATAATATATTCAATTTGGTAGATTCCAAGAAGACTCAAAGGTTCTTCTGTTATCCACGCATTGTCTATGTTCTCTCTCTAGTAACTTGATTTGTGACTCTGATAGCCCTTTCAAAAGTCAAATGGTAAATCATTTCATTTTGTAAATAAAGCATTTTTAAACCTCGTTATAATTTTTAACTGTTTTCTTGAAAATAATGATATGCATCTGAGGACATGTTGCTGAACAAAAGATGGCCAATAGCAATACTAGCACTGCTCAACAACAGATAAACAATTATGTTTTGTCTAATGGCTATTTGAAGACTTGAGTCAGAAACAACTGTTTTACTAGATTTCAGTGGATACAGTGATCACGAAGGACCAAAAATATGTAAAAATGCATTTGTCCTTTGATTTAGTACGGGCAATGCTTTTATTATAGTCACATGTAACTTTATAAATTTATTTGCTTGTTACATGTAGATATATCAACTTGCTAAAACGTGTTAACATACATATTTCTGTCAATTGTTATGAAGGCATTTATACTAATAAAACATAATTATAATATTATGTGTATCATGAACCAAGCCAATTTTCGAAGTACATTTGAAAAAGATAATAATTTATTTTTCCAGACAATTAACCATTTTTAAGCGGGTTTGCGAATAAAATTGAATTATTTCATTGAATTTTATTAATATATTTTGTATTTAGATTATATTTAACTTACAAAACAGGTTCATCATGGCAATTCGGTAAATGTTAAGAAAATGTATTCCTTGTTTTGTTTTTATTTTACAAGATAATGGCTTCACACATTCTTTTATATTGGGGACAATATGCCGCTTTAAACGAAATGGCACTAACGTGTCACTATGAAGGTACCATGATAAAACTCCGTATTGAAGGGAATTTCCTGACTGAGAAGGGGGTTTTTCCATAAACTCAAATTTTTCATATTATGTCAAAATGTCTGAATTTATCTGCTTTAACCGGGGTGCTTATGGGGGCGTGGACGATATTCTGCACATGCCAGAGTAATCGTCCA